CGTTTCACTCTTCCCCCTCGCTTAAAAACAAGTACCCACGATTCCATTCTCTCACTGAAAAACTTGAATTATCCATAGAGCCCTGTGATACAATCTTATCGGTTATTATTAGGCTTGAATCAAAATATAAGCATTTTCGATCAGATATATTTTTCAAAGTTAGATGATAGAGATGAGTCGTAATTTTCAGTTGTCCTTTTCTGTTTTCGGGGGATGATGATTTGGGGAGATGATGATCCCGTATATTACAGTGTAGTAACTAGGCTGTATTTTATTTGCTTTGTTTCATTTGGGAGTGGTGAAATCGTGTTGATTGGCAGATAGACAGCACTAAAAGGTTTTGCTGAACAACAGGCAATCCAAAGTTTTCATAGAAGTTAATGGTTCACCATTTATCCTTTTTGAAGTGGTGGTTGAGGAACTAGACTTTTGCGCTGACCCCCTTCTAATCATTGTGTTCATGGATCATTTACAGAGTTGATGTAAGCATTACTTCCACTTTTCGTTAGCAATGGTTGGTGTTTTCACGGCCTCAAGATCGAAGACATAAATACTTTTCAATTTGGAGGTTTGTGAAGATTGATTGGTTGATTTCAGGTTGGTATTCATCATATACTGACATCAGTTGGAGAACCAATAAAAACCTGGGAGCACTAGACAGCTGTTTCATCTCAGCATGCGACGCCTCAGCAGTGCGCACCCATGACCTCACCAGAGGTCGAACACTGGACCTTTAGGAGCCGAGGCCAACACGTCTCCATTGAGCCACTAACAGAAGTATGAATCATTGGATTCCGACCTGAAATACATATTTTTGTCATCTCATTTTTTTATAAACCAACTATAGTCTGAAACTGTGCGATGTAAACAATTTTAACACGATGTGATGATCTTAGCATAAAGTCGAGGATGAAGTGTCTTCAGCATTCTCTAGTAAATTCTAGTATAGTAGAAAAGAGTTACTATCTATGAAAAACATCATAACTGAACTAGTGCTCTCTCAGCTTCGATATTTTGATCTTGTGATGAAGGTTTCACCATCAGGACAGATGACCTTGTCACCACTTATGTGATGTAACAGGACAAATGAACAGCTACAATTAAATAACTGAGTTCAAAGAAACTTGAATTCTTACTAAAATTAAGTATCTAGCACTAAGATGATAAAAACTAACTTGTCAGCATGTAAAAAGTGATCGCAATAGGTCGCATACTTCTTTGTTACACCTGTCTAAACTTAGCATTAAGTCAACTTGTAAGGTGTTTACCAATTTGGAGGAAAGGGAATATTTCCCTTTTAAAACCCATAAACTATCAAGTTTCAAATTAATATTGTATCATTTCATTTATATGAAATGATATTCGTCTCTGTTGTTGAAAAAATGATCATTTTTGCCATTTTCATCCTAAGCTAGAAATCTTTCCCTTTATTTCAGAATGATTAATGCATGTATTAAAAGAGGATTACTGAAAGTGGTGGAAACTCAGATTCACAACAGTGTAATGTCATTTCAATGAGTTACCATCAAATTTTCATAAACTGATCTTAGTTAAGGGACAACGAACCCCCTTTTTAATTTCCTTTTACTCACTCATGTTATGTGAAGTAGTCTAGCGTTGGTTTACAACGAAAATATTCAACTGGGATGATCCAGTGTTATCACGTATGAATACTGGTGTGTTTTCGTTTCATAAAGCAGTATGTGCCTAAGACAAAGCCGAAGCACCTGATCATTAATTGAATTATATACCTGAATCAACAGGATACCGAATCTGTGATCAAGAGGCAACTGACATTGATAAATCTTATCACTACTCAGATTTTTCTTCAGGAGTACTTTTATAGTCTTAGCCATACTCGACTTCAGTTCCCACTGGATGAAACTGAATCATGTACCTCACTTTAAGATGTAGGCGTTCCTATCTGTGTGAGTGTAAATGGTTGCATGTACACAAAGAAGAAAAGAGAATATGCACAGTGGTGTAGCTTTAAAGCGGGCGAATCTGTATAAACACGATCTATGTGGTGGTTTGTTTCGTGTTTTGTCTCGTCGACATGCGAAACTCATAAATTCTCTGTCCTTTTCTAAAGATTTTCTCACAAACATATATATATATATATGTATATATATATATATATATATATATATATATATATATATATATATATATATATATATATATATATAGCATGCAACGCTTATTGTTCAGACTGAAAGGATACACTTACATTTGCTTACCATCACCAATCACTTTAGCGTGCAATTTTAAGTGAAATTCTTCAAAATATTCAACAAAACTCACACCTTTATCCTGTGACAGAGAAAGAGAGTTAGGACAAAGTATGCACGCCTCACTCAATACATAACTCCAAGAGTAAAGTAAATGAGCATAACCAACAATAGCCTACTCCTGTCTTTTTTCTTCTTACCAATACGAGATACTTGCATACAAATATTCATAGGTTTAAAATAACTAAAGATAATACTCAATTTAGTGGAATTTGGGACAATGCCAAAAGATAGATGAGAGAGGAGATAAGCAGATTGACTATCAGTAAACCGATGAGATGATAAGATGTACAGACAGAGAGAAGGATGAAAAATGAGAGCACATCAATTTAAATTAGATCTACTCATTTCCACCCCATCACCAGTCTCACAATTACGCATATACATCATCTTCATCACACATGTGTTGTCATTACTTTTTCTGCCTCACATTTTCCTCCTTTCATTAATTATGAAAAATGCAAGTTTATACATGCATGAAATCGAAATTATAGTTGAAATGAAAATGCTTAAAACAAGATACATTTGATTCATAGTTCATTAATTTGGAAACTGGTATGCAACACGAAGCTTAAGGAACATTCACTTATCCCCTTCCTGAAGTCTTCATTAATACTCATTATCATCGGCTTTTACCATCTATTGGGTCTCTCAGTGTGTTAAGAGGCAGGGCAATGCTTGTGTACAGGCCTTTATGTGGTCAGTTAGGTGGTCAACGAGAAAGTGATTTCTAAAGTACCATGGCTACAGCGGTGGTTTATAGCAGTTAGAGCTGAATTCAGAAATATGGATTTCAATCACTAGCATTTCACTAGCATTTCTAAATCTACGGAAAACAACTCGATGCATTTACTCAGTTTAACTAACACCTCAAAAACTGTTTTTGATCATAACAGCCTGCTGTGACTCAGGTTTTTCTTTCACATTCAATCATCTTTCCCTATAGGCAGTGGTAATTTGGAGAGCTTAAGGCCATTCACATGAGTGTTCATAAATGATAGCCACAAAAGAACTTTATATATATATATATATATATATATATATATATATATATATATATATATATATATATTACGGCGCCATAAATGAAACACTTACAGCCTTTGATACTAATGGAATGTAATCTACGTGCACTTATCTCTTTGTACTATTTTTATCAAAAATGAGCAGTTCCTAAATAACTGGTAACGTTTTACGTTGAAAGTCTATCCTCATATGCTTTTACTGTCTGGAAGGGGGTTCTCAGTTTTAACTTGTGACTGTATTCTCAATTATCCCCTTTTTAATCTCATCTACAGTATCTAGTGTCTAAATCTAATAAAAATTCTTTTGAGTAGCTTTTATAAAGCACTATGAATTCTCTTTTCTCTATTAAAAAAATACACTCACTACACTACTACTATTCATACTGCATAAAGTACAGCTTTATTTTCGCAAACCGAACTACTGCAAATTATGTAGGATGACAGTTCAATCTAAAAGAAAGCAGGTATAAGTGTAGGATTAGAGTCAGCGACTTCTGATCATTTGTCTCTCCGGTGTTCCACTGAGTGAATAATCAAATCCAACTATTGACAGTTTCATAAACTCACTACGGTCATCAGTCATCATTGTCACTCTACTTGATAAAAAGACTTTGTACTTCAGTGTTCACCTCCACATCCATGTGGTAGATTGCATTGATAACGCTTCACGTCTTTCCAACAAGAAGCAACTTCGGAAAACAATCCCTTATGATAACTGCTGCAGTTTTGTATGCTTTCGTCTTACCGGTTCAAGCTCTCTTTACATGTGGAAAGGAGTTTACTGTAAGCATTTCCTCCTGGCTTTGGAGATAAACATATCTCAATGTAACATAAAACTGAATGAGGTCAAACGCAATATAGGTTTATAATTTAATTTTGACAAATAACGACGAGAGTGGAACCATGGTACTACGTATTCAACCACTTGAACCTCACAGGTTTGTAGCTTACAAGTTGAATGTATAGGTCATTGGTTCAAATCGTGCATTGACTTAACCTTGCCTTCAACTTCAGTTTTTATATCTGAGTATTGTCTAACTGTCTTCAACTGAAGTCAACAAGTATTGCTCCAATACTTAAGTCGGATCTCATTTTTTCTCAAATGTGTGTTGTTGATAAGTTTAAGCAAGAATAAATTTGCGGTAAAATGTTTTTTGTTGACTAAGGAAAAAATCACCCGACTGATAAAAGTCATAAGCAGTTATTTCAAGTTATCTTTAGAGTGTGTATGAACAATGCATCCGAGTCGTCTATGCCGTAAATCGGTTGTGGCATATGACAGCTTGAGGAACGTGTCCGTTGAGTAGTATACAGCTTTGCTGATGGAGGGAGAACGGAAAGGCATATTCATCTCTGCAACAGAAAATGAAATAAACTCAGGATACTTGGTCACTTTCGCGATCAAACCATCTGGAAAACGTAAGAAAAAAATAAGAGATCTGTGTATACCTGATGCATTAGAAACTCTAAGGTCCAAACCGCTGATGTATGTTGAAAAGAATCACATGCAGTCTGCTTCTTTGCCATGGCCACTGTAAAAGATCGATCATTCTGGCTGACTCCCAAATGATGCAATTATATTTCATTTTCTAATCCTTTATTTGTTTTTCCTATTGTAATTTCCTATCTATATCACTTATTATCTATAATATTTTATTATCCAATGTATTTTGACCCTTGACAGGAAATTATTCTGGAATGTTCCAGCCTTTTCACTATGTGTTCACGAATATACAGCTAAGACAGTGAGTTCGTTGAAAAGAAAATTTTTTCGTTGCTACAATCGTCTTCTCTTTTTTCCCTATACAGTCATTAGGCTGATCGATTGTGCCAAAACCACATGATGGTCAGATGAACAGATGGAACCAACCTATAATAATATCAACAGTTAGTTTCATTCATATCTCAAACTTTACATATAACAATTTAAACTCTCTGAGATGTAATAGGTTTTAGTGATTATATACCTTCAAAGCAGATACGGGAAGTGCTACGTATATATCCCAACCTTAATATGCAAGTGTTGAGATTCTCAGATACGATTAACTAGGGACGCGTAATCTAGTCACCGGGTGAATAATACAATACTCGACAACTGGCTCAGCTGACACAGGAAGAAGATAATGTTGGACTGAGGCGAGTTTACTCTAATCGAGGTATGGAGGCACAAGACAAGGACACAACTCTTGAGTTCTAAATACAAGAGGCGAATAGACAAAAGAGCATATTAAAAGTGGAAGATTAACCAATAGGAAAATATTGTTTCTAAAATTGAGTGGCATATGTGAGACGGAAAAAGACTCTCAAAAGATAATTTAAATTTTCAAGGACATAAACTTACAAATTTAGAGCATTAAGCGTTCATTTTTCGGGGTCTAACATCTCCAACAGCAAACAGTCTAATTTCAACTAGAAACTGCTGAATTACTTCTAGACTTGCTATATTAACTTAATGGCAACACGAAACTCTCAGATTAGATTGAAGTTTAATTTCAATTGTCGATCAACTGACTCTTCGCTTTCATTATCTCTGCACTAAACATTCAACAATTTAAGTATCAGAAACCATACGAAAATATCTTAAAAATCTGGATGTAATGAGATGCAAGAAACCCATCTCTTCAAAAGTTTGACATTTGAAAAGATCAAATACTACACTGAGTGTACTATCCTGCGAATAGATTTCATCGAAATATATCCACCCTTGAAAACTCACAAATTCTTCCAGATTGTATGGGGTTGGGCTTTGTATCAATGTCTGACAGTCTATTTTTGAGTAAGCTAGGTTAGCTTCAGTATGTATGGTGTGTGCTCATTGTTTTCATGTTGTCGCTTACATATTAGTTCTGAAAGCGTGTTTATTTCATATGATTAGTAATGCTGTATTGGATTACAACGTTCGTGTAATGTCATATTGCCCTGCACCACGAAAAAAATCACACATATCATTTTTCTTATTTTCAAATGCGAATTAAAAAAACACTGAAAGAAGTCATATTTGGTTGGAGCGATTGAGGAATCGAATGGATAGTTTGCACAGTCGTAGGATATTTTTGTATGTTTGTTTCGTGTAGAGTATGTTCGCATTTGCTTTGCTCTTGTTATCTGCCAAATGATTGGTCGTTCATATACACAAATATGTATGTGGGCATGATTTAGTTATCTTACCACTGCTACCATCACAGCAGTGCTCGCACGTGGCAGAATCGCCACGTAAGCAATAAAGATACTAAGTCGAGAGTATTAGTTGTGATGAAAAATGAAGTACCATAGTGTTGAACTTCCAGTAACCAAGGTGACTGAGTTATGTGTTATGCATGCTTACCAACAGTGTACGTAAATGTGCTATGTTAGGAGGAATAAGACTGTACTGGGAAAATTTAGGAGTGGTTAGGAGAGAAAAAAAAGACTTTGCGCCAACTCATGAAATCTGATCGTTGGTGTGAACTGTGTAGAAGAATTCAGGCTTCCTAGCACAGGATTCCCTACTGATCATCACTTAGCATCACAAAAGCAGTGCAATCGGTCAATGAATAGTCATAAGTATTCTTTCCTTGGCTATATTAGAATTTACCGGAGGTTCCAAATATATCTTTCTGGTTATTATTAACAAGTTTAAAGCTGAAGACAAAAACCTTCCTCCGAAATTTGTTTCAGTGCCTTTTGTTGAACATTTCTTAAAACAGTGAATTGTACGTGTGTGTGCATGAAAATTTCCGCGTTAAAAATTGTTTCGATGGCGGCGCTGTCAGCCGCTGACCAACAAAAAGTTCAAAAGTAAGGGGGTTTTCTGAAAGTTGCTTCATCTAACTGCATAGGCGCTGTTCAAAGGTATACGTCAGTCATTTGTTTTGGATGTTTTGGGCAGAAATACTATCACTGATAAGGCAACTTTGCAATAGCGACTACTTGTTTTAAGCCTGCTTTCATTTATGTATTAAATGAATCTACTATTATTTTACTGTAGGCCAGTATTATTATCATTTTGACTACCTGAGATAGGTGTGATTTGGCAGACTAGTATTGATACTAGGTGATTGAGGTGGAATATTAATCTAGTGAGCAGTTGGATCTCGTAGCTCAGTTGGCAGAACACTGGTCCGGAAACCTGGTAGTCGCTGGGTTGGATCCTGCCGTGGCCAAAGTTTCCATTTCACCTTCACTCATCATCCAGGACCAGTATTGTTGTCAATTTATTTGAAAATGTTGTACGAGTAAATTTCGCAATATCATATATGGAGGATTTTGTATTTTAAACAAAAATATTAGGTTTGCATCCAGTCATTGAAAGTTAGAGCCCTACCGTTAATAATAATAATTTGAAAAGAAATCATCGGATATCTAGCATCCACCAAGGTTATTCATCTGTTGGTCTGGATTATGTGACAGACTGTTGACTGACTGCTAACTGAACTCATCGAAATATCAGGATTCCGTGGTTGTTTAACTACAGGTAGTAAGCATGACTCGAAGTCTCCAATAGCTGTACCGAGTGTATGTACTTGGTGAAAACAGATCAGCATTAGATATGCCCCTTTTTACCAAAAAACAAAAACAGACCACGTTCTTTTAGCTGATTTCACTATTCTTTCCACTGTTTCGATGTATGGTAATTTGAACTGGTGTACTTGTTCTGTCATGTTGCAAATTGATTATATATGCATTCTATCTTTTGTTCAGCTAAACATTTATTGATACATGATATTTATGTCTAGTAGGCCTAAGTTTTTTCATTGAACATTGGAAGAGTTTGAAAATTTAATCCATGGTACACTCAGCATAAGTTGTGTTATATTTATTGTTATACTTCGAGAAAAAAATTCCATACGTTGCATACATATAAATATTTACACAAATGATTAGCCATACAGATACACACTCACAAATAACATATATTGTTATGATACACATTTTCCATGTAGTCATAGATTCGGGTCGACTGTAATCACATTTCAGCATAAATGTTTTCATTCTGTTACTTCCACACAAAATATACAAGTAAATATAAAGTTTAACTTGAACGAAATTTATATTTCACTTAGATATTAGTTTTGCGTTGTAACAACTTCATGTAATAGATATTGATTACAGTCGATAGTTTTGTACTTATATATTGTACATTATCGAGAGATAAACGTACACTAGACAAACTAACAACAATAAACTGATATGCTCAAAAGGTAACAGAAAATCAAGAACTTTAGGGCCCACAAAAGAAAAGTAAATCACTATTCAACCTTTAATTCAGTGCACCTTTTATATGATACATATTGAGGTCTTGTTTAGCATTCATCGTTTAAGGCTGTATCTAGGTTGATTCGACCTGACGATGATGTGTGTGTATGTGGATCTTTGTTATCAATGAATATTAAAAAGGTGCAAACATTGACATTGACACTCAAATCCGTGCATATCTTCAGCAATGCAACATCACTATGGAATATACTGCTTCATGAAAAATAGAAGTCTCCTAAAACACGACTCTCTCAGTCAAAATGATAATCAAATGGATTTGGATTGAAATGAGGTCTGACTGACTGAGGAAGCAGTATGAATACGATTAAGCGATAGTAACGCATCACGAATTCACATGGCAGTTAGACAAAAGCCTTGGTAATTGAAGTGAAATAAAAGTCTGATCAGTAGTCTGGTCTCGTAGCTCAGTTAGTACAGTACCAGGCCAAAAACCCGGTAGTCGTTGGCTTGAATCCTGCTGCAACCTGAATTTTCATTTCACCTTCAGTCATTACTCAGTATCAGCACAAGTCTGCCAAACCACGGCTATTTCAGTTAGTCAAACTGAAAAATGAAAAGTTTTTAACACGTTATGTGGGGTCTTTTCCATAAACTTAGTTCATTAGTAATGTTTTTCATAAACTTGAGCTCAAAAAACCTGCTTTCTCGCCCGAACTTTCACTTAACTTCACGGAAAATCTATCCCAAAAGGAGAAATCTTGTTGCAGATTGTAATTTTTGGACTGAACGTCAGGGTAACTGATGAGTTGAACTCATCTATTCACCAATAAGACAGAAAAAGTTTTCACCGAATAAATATTTCTTTTCAAAGATTTAATTACCAAGCTATGTAGTTGTATGTATATATTTCTGTTGGGATGAATTGCCAAATAGTAATACGATTGCAGATCTTGGTAAGCAAGTCATTGAGAATTCCCTGAATGCCAGATTACTCGAATAGGTATTTATGATCAACTACAGGGTATAATTGTAGCTTCAAGTTGGTTTGGGTCAAGAATAATAACCCTGTCCAACGCGGTGACTTGATCCTTAGCCCTTAGATACTGGTTTTCAAAAAAAAGAAGCGAATGAACATTTGTGTAATGGTTCGTAAGAGTTTTGGAATAAATACCTTGAGAGTAATATCAACTTATGATGACGGAAGAAAGTACTCTGAGACCCACTTGGAACCTACTTAAAATATCAACCACAGATAAGTGGTCGTGACTCAGCAGTTTTACTATCAATGGTACTTTAGTCAAAATGTGCGTTGTACAGATGTACCTCGTCAAGATGAAGAAAATATTCTCCACTAGCGGTGATTTCAACTTGGGTGAATGAAGACATCTGAATTGACACTAATCGGTATCCAGGAAACCGTGATATACTTATATCGCGAGCACAAGAGAGTTGAAAAATTCCCATAACTAGCTAACTAAAGTAAAATCAATGGATCCCAATAGTTTTCTTCTACCAAATCCAGAGTGAGATTATAGTGACCACTGAGGAA